GATACTCGATATGAAATATGCAAGCACTGCACAAACGCACTCGGACAAGTTTGTTTTTCTCTCGAAAGAGGCACAGGGGTGAATCATTGTTGCGCAAAGGCGTGCACGCAGCATCACCAATCTCGGTTGACACATGCGATGCCCCAACCAGCAGAGCAGCCCTCCCGACTCGAGGTTGCCACCAGGCCACACAAGGTCAGGATGCGCCCGCACATCACCCCACTGGCTTCTGCGCAGCCAAGAAATTATGGAAGGCACTGACATCCGTTCTGGCAGCCCCCTGGCGTTCCAGGTGCTCGTACACCCCCCTGCTTGGGGGGTCAGAAGGATTTGAGTACGAGGGGACCCATCCAAACCACGGCCGGTTTGCCGTTTGTTGCTCAGTGTTAAGCACATGTTGGAGTATTCTTCTGCCGCACGCCGTGCTCGACTTGCCTGCTACGAGGGCAGCCTGAGCGGCAGTGTTATCGACGAATACCACGGTAAAGGTATCGAAGAGAAGGTCTTCCCATGCTGACATTGCAATCATAACAGCAAAAAGCTCGACGGCATAAATAGGATGGGAGGACTCCTGCAAAAGAATATTCAAGTCCTGATCGCTCAAATGATCACTGAAGAAACGTAAAGGCACACCTGCCCCATCTACGATGAGCCCACCGACCCCTGCACGTATGTCAGCATCCGGCTCATACGAACCGTCAGTGAATACGTACAAGTTGCGGCCAGAGGTCAAACGAATGGTCAACGGAGGCGCAGTTTCCAAGTGCTTAAGGAGAGTCAACAATGAACGTTGCAAGTCATCGCACAGCAGGTTGCCTTGGTCGTGGCCTTGTGCTCGCTTGGAAAGGTTATGCATGGCATTGCAGGGGGCGCGCCCAAACAGGTACGAGTTGAACCAGCGCAGTCTGCCCCTCAAGACCTCAGCCGCCTTGGGGGACAAAACACCCTCAGCAAGGATTGCACGTATGGAATCAACAAGCTCTGCCTTGCGCTCATCAGTGTGGCCTATGGTAAAGGAACCCTCGTCAAAACCTGAAAGGTCACACACCAACCCCAGTGCCGCAAACCGCTGATCGAATTTCACAGCTTTCTTGCCCGTCTTGGCATATTCAACTTGCAGGCAGTTGAAGAGGCCATCCACCAGTGAATCCACCTGATCACAGCACGCAGCTGGGCTCAGAACCGGGAAGTCGTCGAAGTAGGACAGCCAAGGTGTTTCAAGATCATTGACGCCCGTGCGCCAAATGGCATTGGAGATGCGCAAGAAACCCCCTACACTACCCGTAGCCCCAAACGTCAAAACGTTCGACCCAAACACGGCGGGCTCTGAGGTGTCTGTGTCCAAAACCCCGATCCGAAAAATCTCACGGTCTTCAGGGTGAATGGGAAAGTGCTTGTACGCACTGACAAGGTCAAACGTCTTTCCCCGGAGCTGGAGAGGGGAGCCGGCTGCCCTTTCCATCACCACCAACAAAGTAGCTGCCAGGACGTCAATCCCATCAAGATTATACTTTTCGCAAAGGCCCACTCTAGTATTCAGGGAGCAGCCCTTCTCATCATCTATTACTCGCACTTTGGATTTTTGCGCCAAGCCAAACCTACGTGCAAGCAGAATCTGCGATGGGTCAAAGGCGCGGTCCCGAAACACCCACTGCTTTTCCTCCTCAATCTTCGTCTCGGCCCACGCCTGCTCGGCGACTTCGTCCACTGGTGACTTTGCAATGGCGCTCAAGGTCAAGGGAGTGCGGTATGAAGATTGGGCAAGAAGCTCCTTCAGGCCGGCAGTAGGTGGCTTCAGCCTCCTAGTGAAGATACCAGTGTCAGGCATCCAACCCGTGATCCTAAATGCAGATCCTCCCACAATTGTTGGTCAGGGAAAGCATTGTCCTGCAAAATGGACTTCCACAGCAACACATTTTTATCCCCAAGGACGCGTTGGAGATACGCAGGCTTCTGCTTCAACAACTCAGCATTGGCTGCAGCCAACTCCCCGGCCTGTCTCTGCCACCTTTCCAATGCTTGACTTGATTTGGCCTTCCTGTCGTCGAAAGACATACGTACGGCTTGGGCAACCCTTTGGGCATGGCCCTTCTTATGCAAAGACAACATATCCCTGGTGGCCGGCTTTAACAGCTTCCTTGATGAAATCTTCCGGTTCACGCGGGATTCCTATCTGGATTACTTCTGCATGCTCTGCACAGAGGTCGCTGGGGTGGATCAATCCCATGACGCGGCAGGTGCCCTCGTCGCCTGGGATTTCATGACATTCCCCTGCCAGTTTTCCTTGTCCACCTCCAAAGATCCTGGAGGATCCAAACTTCTCTGCAAGAGCAGTGGTGTCAAGTAACGGGAACTTAGTAGGCACGCAAACCCGGACTAAACCCCAAGGAAGAAGTTTGCGCCTCAAGACCTTGGATCCCTTAGGATAAGAGGCGAGGACGGCAGCAATTTGTTGAGCGGCACAGCCCAGGCATCATGCCCTCTGAATGCGAAAACCAGGGGTCTGGCATAACGCGGCTGCCGTTCAAGTGCAATCTGCTCAGGCGGCCGAACAAGCGGGCAGCAGTTGGTCATCCCGACCGAGGCATCAAGCAGAAGAGCAGCAATTCGCTGACACAGGAGCCAAGGGTAAGCAGCCTCCTCGGCAGTGGGATAATGCCAGCGGCCATCACGGAAAACCGGCTGCCAAGGTTCATGGGCATGGTCTTTGGTGCAACGAATGGCGAGAGGCATGAAAGTGTCGTCCGAACACCACCACAAAGTGGCCTTGTCGCGAGAGCCACCATGGCTGCAGTGGTCAAAGACACATTCGGCACCCACCTCCAAGCGGAACAATCGTCCATTCCGTCACAAAGCCAGGCAAGGGAGTTCAGCGGGTTCTCGACCGACACCCGGACTCCGAGAGCAATGCAATGGCGCGCAATCACGCCGACGGTCTGATACAAAGCATTTGCCTGCTGCACCCGGTCAAGATCAACTGCGGCAAGAGTAGATAGCCCTTGTGGCTCGGTGGGCGATCTCAAAGGCTGCGGCACTGGCTTTCCATGCTGCACCGCCTGCGGAATGGGTTTATTTCGCGCGGCAGAGCTGGTGCCACACGGCGGGGCCAGATGCACAAGATCCAAGTTGTCCGCTTCCAAGGTGATAATATCAAGCAAGGCTTGGACATCTGCAGGCTGAGTGAGGGCAAGGTGGTGTATGGCAAATCGAGACCGCTGCGAAGATTTATCCACCGCCAATGTGCGAAATCCCACAGCCTGACACGCTTGCGACAGACGTGCTGTACCTGCAAAGACTTCAGTGACCATGAGGGCTACTTCCTGAGGAAAAAGGTTCTGCGCGGTGTATTCTCTCGGCACATTCTCGACACTGTGCTCGGAAGTTGACTCCATGGGCGTGGTTGAACCAAGGGGACTAAACCCTAGGGGTAGAAGCTTTGCAGGTTGTGACGGCACATGGTCACGAGGGGATTGAGGACTAAACCCTAAGGATGAGGATGGCATGCCGTGGTCAGTGGCAAAATCACCTGGCACTGACGCAGCATCAGTATGGAGCAGACGAGGCTGCTTGCAATCTCGTCTGGACGGCAGCTCGAACCCCAAGTCATCCAGCCGTGTGGCCAGACTGGAAACCAAGGATGCAGAATTTTTAACACAGAAGCCCACAAGGATGAGGCGCGTCCCCGTCCACTCGCATGTGGCACGCAAGCATTGAGCATCCAACTCACAAGGACCCTGAGACACGTCAAGCAGACGCCCAGTACGTGCGCGGCCCTCAACAGTGAAGGCGTGACTGCCAGGTCCCTCGACCCACACAGCGCCATGTAGAAAATGTGAAGCTGGCAAAAGCAAGTTAGGACAACCCGGCTGGTTGTTCGTGTCCACATGCGGAGGCGCTTGCAGCTGGCGAAACAGACCAGCAGAGGTGAAGTGTTTGGATGGAAACAAACTGAGGCCAATAACTTAGTAGTGGCAGGATATTTAAAAACATTGCTTCGCAACCCCGCCGTATTGGAGTAGACATAAGCACCGGTCGTGAAGGTTTTGGAACCGTGGCCAGCAGAAGCAAGCTCATTGTCTGGCGGCAAAATTGAAATCAGAGACTCAAAGTCCTCAAAACTCACTGCACCATTACGCAGGCAAAGACATGAGAGTCGCCCGGCTTCACAAGTCGGATGAAACGCCTGAAAAGCATGCGCAAAACTTGGAAAATTGTATCGGTCTGCATGGCTGCGGATCCCAGACGCGGAATCAGTCTGCATCGCCACGGGACCGGATAGTCAAGCCTTGTTGTTGGCACCTTTCCCGCCTCCTTTCCAGGAGCGAGCATGACAGACTTGGCAGGAGCGCCCCACCCGCCTGCAGTAGGCGCACGCGTGTACGCCACGCACGCATTTGGGCGGTTGCCCCTCAGTCTTCTCCTGGCAGCCACACTCCAAATTAAAATCCCAGCAGATCAATGAGCCATCAGCCATTTTTTGGTGAAGGTCTTTCAATTCAGCTGGGACCGTGCGACGAGCGGCGCCACCACCGCCTCCCGGATGGGTAATCTTGACTTGGGCTGCTGCCTTTGCTTTGGCTTGGCGTTGCCGCCGTTTTGCTGCACGCGAAAGTCCTGGCGCATCGTCTGTTGACGCAGGAGGAGCAACGGCACCTGCAGGATGCTTGAAAGGCACAGGCATCAATAAGCAAGTGATTCGAGGATCATAGCGGAGTGATTCCAACTTCTCTCCCATGGGACGAGCTCCAGTGGAGGTTGCTTTCAAGGTCTGCAACTCAGCCGACATAACCATAAAGGCCTCCCTATCAGCTTGCACCAACTGCGCAACACCGGGCCGACTCCAACCGGGGGGACAGTCCTTCGTAAGGCTATGCAGCAGATGTTGGACCCAATGTTCGTGTTGTTCCCAACTGACCAACCCAACCTGGTCTAAAGCTAAACCTCGGCGTTGCAAGCACCACTGTAGCATGATTGCAGAACTGTAGTCTGCAGTCAACTCGGCGGTCTCAGAACCGAGCTTGAGCTGGTGGTCCTCGAGCTTGAAGACCTTTGCTGTCTCTTTGGACGAGACCTGGATTTCGGATTCACGGGAGGTGCACTTCCCAGGGCTAATCCAAGTGACGGTGTTTGTGTCGCACATGTGCGAGCAAAGGTCCACCAAGGAGTAGCTAGGCACCATGTCCCGTTCAATGAGAAGGCCACTTAGCCGCTGCTTCTGAGCCATTGCACGCGCCGCCTTCTCTGCGACAGGCAGCTTGCGTGGCGTTTCAGTGTCGCCCATGACGCTCTGGCGAAGAGCTGCCACCACAAAGGTAGATGCCTCAAACAT